TGAACAAATAAATAAATGAGATAGCTTAAGAGAGCAGCCAGGGGTGTTGGGCATCTAAGTCGTTAGCTCTGGTGCTCGGGACAACCCCACAGGAGGCGGGGTGGGGGGGTGCGGGTTGTGCTCATTATCTGTCAAGGAGACCGTGGCTCAGGGAGAGGAAGAATCCTATGCAGTGCTACACGGATACTAATGCGTAGGGCTGGCATTCAAACTGCATGCATCATTATCTATTGCTGTGTAACTTATTACCCTATAAAGGCTTAAAACAACAATAATCATTTGTTATCTCTCATGGTCTCCGTAGATCAGGAATTCAGACAGGGTACAGTGGGGCGAGTTTATCCCTGCACCACAACAGCTGGAAGATTTGAAGGCTGGTAGCTGGAGTCATCCAAAGGCCCTTTTCTCATTTGTGTAAAGGTGGGCGTTGGCTGTGGCTACAACGTTACACATGGCCATTCCATGTGGCCTAGACTTCCTCATAACAGAGTGACTTGAGTTCCAAATGTGAGTGTCCTGAGAGAGATGGTGAGAGGGTCAGCTAGGAACATTTTCTGACAAAACCGTGGAAGTCACAGCATCACTTATCCCACATCCCATTGGTCTGGCTAGTTACAGGGTTGTGCCCAGATACAAGGGATAGAAACAGACCCACCTCTTGGTAAGACAAGTGTAAATCACATTATAAAAAGAGCATGTGGAATGGGATAAATATGCTTTTCAGCCTTCTTTGGAAAAAACCATCTACTGCATCTGGCTTGCCTACTCCAAAGCCAGTGTTCACTCCTCCTTGCCACCCTACTTGTCTGCCTCTGAAGTTGATCACCTCAGTCTTGTCTACTTGCTGGAATTCAGCCTCTTACCAGACTTGATTCCTTCAGGACACTTCAGGGCCGGCTGTAGTCCAACACCCGGCCTTTTTGCCTGAGGCGTTGAGATGGCTCTGCTGATGGTGCCTCCTCCCTGGACAGGCAACATTTTGTTTTTCACTCAGGCTTTTGAAGCAGGGCATTCTGTTACTTTGCCCTTCATTGTCCATTAGCCTCAGGGCAATCATAAGATGGGCTTCATGTCAAGTGGCAGCTTTCCCTCAAACGGGTGATATTCAAAATACTTTCCAGCAAACATGGCATCCACTTACATGACCCCCTGGAGCAAGGAAGCACATGCTGGAGACTTTCTCATGGGAGACAAGTCCCAGCACGTCCTGAGGCTTATATGGGCTGACACAGTGCTGGGGACTGTGAAGCAGCAAAGCAGGGGAGACAGACACGTATGCTCAAGTAACATTCATGCAACATGCAGAGTGCACACCCCAGAGGTGTACGGAGGGGTGTAGGGGAGGAGAAACGTTTTTCTCCTCTACCTGTCTTAGGTTCCCCAGCTGAGGCCCTGTAAATTACACAGATTAACAAAAGAAAAAAAAAAAAATAGAAGTGCTTTGTGCATGTACACATGGGAGTGCATAGTGATGAACAATCCAAAGAGGTGTCACAATTTGAACTTGTATACCCTCTTAGGCTAAATAAAGGAAAAGAGGTTTTGGACTTCTGCATCGGTGGGTGGGGGAGGCAAGTTATGGAGAGGTGACCAGGAAAATATGGTAAACAAAGGTGGTTTAGTAAAGTTTATTATGAAAATTTAAGCTGGTGCCATCTCCATTGAAAGGAATTATACGTTTACAAATGTAAATTTCCCTTACAAAATGAAAACTTGTGCTCTGGTTTTGTAGCGTTTTGGGTCTGACGGTCCTCAGTGGACTTTAGCTCAAAATAATCCATATGCTAAAGAGGCATATTGTGAAGTCACATATTCTGGTACTCTTCAAGGTGAGCAATTAATTCTGCATAGGGGAAACTAGGAAGGCTGGCTTCACTGGGGGCTGAAGGGATACAGCAGGAGCTGGGCCCTGTGAATCAGTATCTGTTCATAATTTAGTGAGCCCTTTGATAAACTGGTGTCCATGCTTGAACTGGCAACTAAAACCCTGAAGTTCTTGAATAATGTCCCTTTAACGCTTCCAACTCAGGTGTTGTACTCACTCTCAGGAGACCTAAATCTTGTAGGTTTGAAACATCTGTAAGGAATTCCACCCCCCCTTTTTTTTCTGGTTATACCCAATTGAGTAGCTTCTGAATATATGTATTTTTATTATTATTTTATTTATTTATTGGTTATGAATATTCATGCGATACAAAGCTGACTGTCACCCCTCATGCCCATACTGGTGCTTCTGTATATTTTTGACTATAAATTACATATATATATGTATATAATCTATATCTTCCTCCTTAACCTTTTGGCTCCCTGGTGTAACTCTGTTACCCATACCTTTGCATCTTAATTTATAACATGCTTATTTCTGTCTTTAGCCCTTTTCATTCAGCAAATTGCAAATATTTAATTTTGTTCCCTCTGCCATGGTTCAAACCTCTAGGAAGACTGTGCTGATCCACCCCACCCCAAGCACTCATACAATTTATTCTCTTATTCTGTATTACTTTGGCCCCATATTTGCCCCCAACTCAGTTGTATAACTATTATGCGTGCTGGAAATATGTTTCTGAACATACTTATCTTCTCTGGACACTTTGAGGGTTGTGACTGAGTAACTTTGTTTTTGATTTTCTCCTAGAGTATTCAATAGATAACTGTCCACATGGAGATAGAATGAATTCAGGACAGAAGATGTTAGTCCTAAGGTCCATGTTAAACCATTTATTCAACAAAGCAGATTTCATTAAAACAGATTCTTCTAGATTGTTTCATTTAATTCTCTGTTGTGAAGTTTCCCCTAGACTGTGTCTAGAAACCATTTTATTATACACAAACATTAGGACTTCAGGGCATGTGAGCTGATAAATAGGAGGAGAGAATAGAGATTTCTAGGTACCAGTAAGAGAAAGAGGATAGAGGTGGTCATGAGGAAAAGGTATTACATAAGTGATTTGAAAAGTGTAATTAAAGTTAGCATTACTTGTAAGGCTGAGATTAGGATTATTAGATATACAATGGGGGGCTCTACATTAAGATTAGGATACAGTCTAAGAATGAGGATGAGGAGACAATAAGATTAGCACAGGGACGGCAAGGATGAAGATTAGGATTAAAATAGATTTAATGCTACTGTTCTGTGCTGATGCCAGGAGAGATATTGAATCAAAGCCATTTTGTGTTGGGACTAGAAATAAAACTAGGATTTTACTTTTTCTTGTTTTATCAGCATCTATCCAAAGAGAACTTGGTATTGCTGCCACTGCCATGGAAAAGCTAGAAGATAGTGTCTATGGGATTAGGACCTCAGAATCCTTTACGCATCCTTTGGAGAGTAAGATTCATTCATTCATTTATAGAAATGGATGCCAATTTTCTGCAAAATTCTGGGCCTTGACTTCTGGGAACCCGGAATCTAGTGGGGGAACTAAGCCAGAAACACAGTGAGCTGTAACACAACTTCTTCCAAGGGGTTTATTGTTCTATTATTTCTTATTCCCATGGGATGTTTTGAAGCATTTGAAAAACTCTTATTCCAGGGAGGTAAAACTCCTTCAGCTGGAGGATCAAATTAGTTGTATTTCTAAACTGGAATTTGAGGAGAAGTTGATGCATCTGAACTGGGCTGGGGAGGCATTGTTTGTGCCAAAAGGCAGAGTTATGAGCATGGAGTCTGGATCCAGTCCTCCTCGGTTCGAATCCTGGCTAGCACAATTTCAAGCCGCTGCTTAAACTCTTAGTTTCTAAATTTGAAAAAGGATAATAATGTTATCTGCTTCATAGTGTTGTCATAAAGATTAAATGAGTCAATGTGTATAAGTTACTTCAAGTGGTATCTGGAATATCATAATCACTATATAAATACTTTATGATAACAGTAACTATAATTATCTCTCTGAGTAGACTACACTACAGGTTGTCCTTGATTTGCTGTTGTTCTACTTAGGATTTTTCTACTTTACAATGGTGCCAAAGCGATAAGCAGTCAATAGAAACTGTACTTGGAATTCTGAATTTTGATCTTTTCCTGGGTTAGCGAAATTCAGTGGAATACTCTTGGCGATGCTGGACAGCGGCAGTGAGCACAGCTCTTAGCCACCCGATCACGAGGGTAAACAACCCATACTCTACAGTGCACTGAGTGGCCAGCGGTTTTGGATATTTTTTGTGTTTTCGCATTCCATCATGTCTGCAAAACGTCCGTTTTCGACTTACAACGTTTTTAACTTATGGTAAGTTTACTGGGACGTAAGCCCCTCGTAAGTCGAGTAGCATCTTTACGCACTGCAGAGAGGTCTTAGGTCGGGAGTCTGGGATGCCACATGCGATACCAAATTTCCCCAGAAGATGGCACCAAACCCCTCAGTGTCAGAATTGTCCAGATGGCCTAAATATTTAAGACATTTCCCTGTGTTTCTGGGCTGCGCCTTTGCCTGCGATTTGTGGGCGTTTTCAGAGAAGAAATAATAAAACTGAAGAAATTAAGCTTTCTCTGTAAGAGTCTGTTCTGGCTTGAAGCCTAAGCATACTGGGATATTTGATTATGGTGTGAAAGCAGCATCGTGTATTTGAGAGTTGCCTGATGTGAAGTCGTGGGGCCTGGATTTTGGTTCTAACACTGTGTGTTCTTGGGCGAGTTCCTGAATTTAATTGGGCTTCGGCTTTCTCTCTCCCTTGCTGTTATTTGGGAAATAAAATAGAAGGAGAATGCAAAACAGATGCTTAAGGAAGCAGGGCGGGGGGGGGGGGCTCGGGGGGGGGGGGCTCAGAGGAGAAGCAAAGAAGATATGGTAGGAATTAGAGTTGGAGGTGAAGAAATTGTGATATGACAAGGGAGGGGAGTTGGAAATGAAAATGATAAAATGAGGGACATGATGATGCAGGTGAAGACTTAAAAATATGGGAATGTTTTATATAGAGAAACCTCCCTTTACTACATTTTCAGTCTATCTCTTGCACACACGTACACACACAGCCACACCCACACCCACACGGCTATCATCTATTGCTGTGGTGTGATGGGTATGAGGAAGCAGAGGGGTGGGGAGCTCAAATGTCCTGGTAAAAGCATGTAGAATCTCTTTGCAATTTTAAAGCACACTAAGCAGCTCTCCCTAGCTTACTCTGGGCTCCACTTCTTTCCCCAGCAACCTCCTGAATGCCCTCTTTACCTCCTTGTTCCACAGGGTGTATATGAGAGGGTTAAGTGAAGGAGTGCCCACTGCATAGAAGAGACCAAAGAACTTGCCCCTCTCTCGGGCATAAGGATTTTTGGGCTGGAGATAGACAGCAATGACTGAGCTGTAGAAGAGGGTGACCACAATGAGATGGGAGGAGCAGGTCCCCAAAGCCTTTCTCCATGCTATGGCAGAATTAATCCTCAGCACTGCCCTGGCAATGGCACCATAAGAGACAAGGATGAGGCTGAGGGGCACGACCAAGATGAGGACACTAGCAATTGCCATCTGGATCTCATTGTAGGTGGTGTCTCCACAGGAGAGTCTAATTAGAGCTGGAACCTCACAGACAAAGTCATCCACCTGCCGGTGGGGGCAGAAGGGTAGGCGAAGGGTCGGTGGTGTCTGGACCACTGATTCCACCAGTCCAATAACCCAGGCCACAGATGCCAGTTGCCAGCACAGGCGGGGGTGCATGATGGTGACATAGTGGAGGGGCTGGCAGACAGCTACATGGCGGTCAAAGGCCATCACTGTCAGGAGGATGCACTCAGTGGTCCCCAGGGACAGGAAGATGAAGAGCTGGACAGAGCAGCCCAGGAAGCTGATGGTCTTCTTTGGGCCCCAGAGATTGACCAGCATCTGGGGGACACAACTTGTGGTAAAGCAGAGGTCCAAGAAGGAGAGGTTGGAGAGGAAAAAGTACATTGGAGAGTGGAGCCTGGGGTCCAGCACAGAGAGCAGGATGATGAGGGTGTTGCCGGCCAGGGTCAGGAGGTAGGAAGTTAAGACAACCATGAAGAGAATCTTTTCCAGCCCTGGATGTTCAGAGAAGCCCAGAAGGAGGAAGCCCGCTGGAGAGCTTTGGTTGACCATGGTCGGTTTCCGTCCAAACCTGGAGGGATGAGGCTGTGAGACTAGCGTGATTCACCGTGTTTTATAAAAGTCACCCTGGAAGCTTGTGAGGTCACACCAGGTGGACATTTCTCTTCTGCCTCTGCTCCCCCAGCCTCCCTTCCCCAGACGCATCACCATCCAGCAGCTCCTTCTCTTCCTCTGCCCCTTCTGGTCAAAGGTTGTCTAGTGGGATTGAGGAACGAAGGGAGCCTCATGCCGGTTCCTCTGACTTACTGGTTGAGGACATAGAAAGCTGACATAAGACATGAATTAATTAGCTAATTTATTTCTACAGCAGAAGTTTACTGAGTGCCATGTATTCCGAATTCTGTTCTGAGGATTATATTGCCCCTTATTGATTTGTTGGGGGAACAAGCAAAGTAATATCTTTTAAATGAATTTTCTGATTTTAAGTTATCTCTGTAGGCTTGATCATTTCTCTGTTGGTTGAACAAATTCTGTAGAACTCTTTACATTCCATTTATTTTATACTTCTTCATTTGCAAGGAAGCTTACCAGAGACAGAATGTTTTGTTTATAAGAGAAGATTTGCTTTTGTTTCAAGAAACCCCCACTCATAGAGAGAGATCAGTTTGGTTGCCCCGGCCTCTTTAGCAACCCAAGTTGCTGAATCAGCTTTCCTGGTTAGGGGAATTGGTCCATATGCTCAGTGCCTGCCATGAGCAGTTACAGGCAGGAGGGGAAAGTGGCCCCGTGCATGTTAAAGTCAGTGGGGAGTTCACGGGAACATTATCAAAAGACTTCAAGATTTAAAGGCCAGAAATACTAACATACTCAGTGAATAAGAGTCAAGGTCTGCAAGATGAAGGATCAGTTTGGTTGGATGTATCAGAGAGAGTGCCCAGAAGAAACAGAGGGAGAGAAGGAGCTGCTGGATGGTGGTGTGCCTGGGAAAGGAGGCTGGATTTTTTTTTTTTTTTTACAAAAGAGAGAAGTATTGGGGCATAGAAGGACAGTTCAGAGATGGGGATGGGATGCTGCAGCCACTCTGGCAAATTGAGAGACAAAGACTCAGGCTTCCCTAGTCTTAGAAGACCTTAGGAAGGTGGGAGGTGGGGAGGGTGCGGGAGATGGTGGTGCCAGGTGAGATGGCAGAAGTGCCTCGGGAGCTTGTAGGATGGCACAAGCTTCCCCACCACAGGGTCCTCATCTTGTGTTTAAGCTCCAGCACATCTCCCTAGTTGCTAGAACTTTCTGCCTTTGTCTCTTTCTTTGTTTCTTTTCTCCCATTGTCTTTTTCTTCCTTATGATATATATATATATATTTAATTTTTAAAATATCATTATGTATTCAAACAGAAGTGTGAGTAAAGCAAATCTACAGTTTAAAGAATAATAAAGTCAACCCCTGATATGCCGCCTGACCAGGTTAAGGAACTGAACAAGTTTCAAGTGTTTTAGAAGCTCCTATGTGTCCCTCCCTGACCTCTCAATTTCCCACCCCCAGGATGTAACCACCATCCTGAATTTTTAATTAATTATTCCCTTGTGTGTTTTTTTGAGATATTTCACATACCATAAAATTCACTCTTCTTAAGCGTATAATTTAGTGGTTTTAAGTATATTCACAAGTTGTGCAACCAACGTCATCTACTTCGAGAACACTTTATCACTTCCAGAAGAAACCCCGTGCCCATTAGCAGTCATCCCTTTGTTTTCTTTGTGATATAAAATTCTTTGTATGTAACCTCAAACAATAGCCATCTGTTTCTTATTCTTCCATGAACTATCATTCCAATCAATTTTCTGCACTTTGTCATTCTCTTGCCATTTCACTTCCTTTCTTCCTCTACTTTATCTCTGAATGTCTTTAGATTATATCTTCTTTAATTACTCTCCCCCTTTTCTCTTTTGATCTGTCTTTTCCACTCTGTCCTTCATTGACCATTTTTCTCCTAGTCCTTTTCCTTCTGATACATCCATTCTTTGGTTTATACATTTGTTCATTTCTTGAGCTGCAAGGTGCCAGCACGTGCTAGGAGGCAGGGCAGGGGCTGAAGTTCCCCTCAAAGAGTTTATAATAGCCCAGTGATCATTACCTGCCATCGCTATTAGTAGCCACATCTGTTGAGTGCTTCCTATGTGCCAAGCATGGTGCTAAGCAGCTCCCCAAACACCTAGTTCTCACAGCAACTCTGCCAAGAAGATATTCATTTCTCAGTTTTACCAAAGAGTAAACAGTCTCAGAGAGGACATGTAACTTGTCTAAGGTCACCTGGACAATAACTGATGGGACCAGCATTCTAGACCCTATTTAACTCCAAGTCTGGTGCTCCACTTTTGAGGACACATGGAAACTGATATGTCATAGGAGAAGAGCAAATGTTCTACTTACCCTCAATCAAATAATCTCTTCTGCTGCCAGAAGTCAAAACTCTTAACTGGTGCCTAGAATCCTCTCAGATGTCAAGAAGAAAACTAAAAATAAAATAAAGAGGAATGGGCATCCTTGAATGGACAATTAAATCTCTGGTCATGATAAGGATTGTTAATGCCTACTACTTGGCACTTTTCTAAGCACATATATAAGTGATCAGCTGGAGCTGGCTCGTACTATCTCCTGATTATTAAATTTTAAGAAAGTTTGTGAGATGGTTATTAAACCATTGATACCTGAATCAACCATGGCAGGAGTATTTACACTATGGAAACTGGCAAGCAAGTTAGTAAGCATCAGAGCTGATGTTCGAAGCCAATGGGCTGGCTACAGAGGCTGTGTGCCAACCACGGCCCACCATATCTCTGCAGGGAAGTTGAGGCCAAGGGAATTTGTAGATACCTTTTTGCTGTAGAGCTTTTTGCCAATCTGGGGAGAAGTTTATCTCTCTCTTAGTGGCACCGGAGGTAGAAAAATTGACATGGTGTGGGAGTGGATAGAGGGATCCCAGTACTCCCATTCCATGGAGAGAAAGAGCTCATTAATTCTGATGAGACTCTTGGGTTCTACAGCCCACAGACAATTCATTAGCCATTAATTATGATAAAGGGGCAGGGGAATGTCTAGAGGAAATATGCCAGTAATAGTCATCCCTACAGTAGGTAAAAAGGTCACCAACTGCTTCTTTCTGTCAATAAGAAGAACAAGGGCAATGTCTGTCCTGCTGACCACCTCCAGTGAGTCCAGGTATGCAGATATTCCTCTCCAGCCTCTGATTTATCCATTCAAGACCCCAGTTTTTAAAGTTCTCAGCTTCCTCCTTTTCTATTTGATTCTTCTCTCTGAGATGGACCATACTATAGTAACAAAGAATTATAAAACCATTGGGTTGGAAGAGTTCTTGTGACACTTAGTCTAATCCTCATAAAATGCAGCTGAATCACTTATGCTTGAACATATTACGCCTCTCATTTATTAGAGGCCTAAGGGATCAGCTAATAAATGGTATCCTGGCCCAGGTCCAGATCACAGTGGATGTGCTAGGTCCATGGACCTACTGTATTAGTCCATTTCTGTTACATATAACATAAATACTGAATCTGGGCTATTTATAAGAAAATGAAATTTATTGCTTACAGTTTCAGAGGCTGGAAGTCCACAGTCCAGGGAACACATCTGGTGAAGGCTTTATTTGGTGATGGCTTCAGTTATGGCAGGGGATCACACTGCAAAATGGTGGAGCAGAGAGTGCGAGAGACCAACCTCCTCAGTCAGTCTCTCTCTTTTTTTTTTTTCCTTTTTCTGTCTTTTTTCGTGACTGGCAATGGGATCGCAACCCTCAGTGTCGCGCCCGTACTGCGACCGGCAACGGGATCGCAACCCTCGGTGTTGCGCCCGCACCGCACTCAGCCAGTGAGCAGACCAGTCTCTATATGGGATCCGAACCCTCAGCGGGAGCGCCGCCGCACTCCCAAGTGGCGCCCTCTACCGAGTGTGCCACCGGGCCGGCCCAGTCAGTCTCCTTTTAAAGTTCTTGGAACCACACTCCTGACCACCATTATTAATCCATTAAATAGGGCATGGTCCTACAATCTAATCACCTCTTCAAGGCCCCACCTTTCACTTACTAAAATAGGATTTCCAACCCTCAACAGTTATAGTGGGAATTAAGCTTCCACTATATGAACCTTGGGGAACATCATTCAATCAAACAGCACCTACCCAGTAGTCATTGCTGCAGTCTCTGAATGTATAATTGCACATATGCAGGGGCTCAGGGACAGCGGGCCCCAAACCTCCCAGTAGCCCCTTTTATCTCCCCGCCACGGGATGAGCAAGAGATGGAACCGGTAGGATGACTCCTGCCACCCTCGTGGCCAGGAGAGCCCGGGAGGAAGGTGAGTATGCCACCTGCCTATTCATCCCACAGAGAGACACTCAGACGTGGCAGGGGTTCCATCAAGCAGTTCCGTTTATTTTCACACAAGCACCTGCTTTTATAAGCATATGGCAAGGGGATTTCCTGACTTCAACCTACCATCTTAAAGGTCATGTGAACATGCATCTTGCTCTAATGCTTTGCTATTGCAATCATGCGGTGAGCACGAGCATGGAAATATCTTTTATTCAATAATTTTAAACCATGTCTTTCCTTGGCCACTGCCCAGCGGCTTCCGTCAGGTGACATCCTTATCTCTCCTGTCCAGGCCAATGTTTTCAACAGATTATGTATGCTTATGTGGGTGGGGTCGTGGCTAGTTCTCTGCCCCGGGAGGAGGTGTGTGGCCTCAACGCCCCAACACACATACTTGGTAGTTGGCAGAATCCTCACATTAGTTCTTTGGTCTGTGGAGTAAGAACTGTAGTAATAGGGAAGACCAAGTGGAAGGCCTGAATCTACAACCCCTCCCCACAAAGACAATAAATCAATATAACAATCCAAGGGAAATGGTTGATGGATGCCACTCTCAAAGGATGAGCAGTGGTTGTCCCTATTACATCCCCCATTTAATTCCCCTAGTCTGGTCACACAAAAACCAGATGGATCTCAGAAGATGACTGCACTGCCATAAACTCAACCATGAAGTAGCTCTAATTTCAATTGCTGAGCCTGATTAACGTGGTTTCAGGTCCATGTGACGTGGCTGTTGATCTGGTGAATGTGTTCTTTTCAAGTACTATCAGGAAGGAGAATCAGAGATGCTTTGCATTTAGAGGGTATGGATATAAGTATACACTTACAGTTTTACTCCAGGATGATGTGAAAACTCTCCCACCATAATATGGATCAAAAGGACATGGACAGTGATGTGCTACTACTTCAGGCAAAAAAGTCTTGATTTATAGCA